CTTAGACCCCCTCCCGCCGCTGCCTCAGCAGACTTGGCGATGTACGAGGTGATTAGCAAAAAATGTACACGTTTGTAAACTCGCCCTGCATTCATAGCCAATGCCCTTTTTTCATGACTTATAGTAATTTACATGGTAGAATAATCTATGACTCGTGTCATGCCATCACAGTTCAACTTCCCTAACAGCAATGTAGACTTTCCCAGGTGACCCAAAAATAGGTCGTTTTTCAGTCCTCAAAACACTTGTATATTATTTTACATGTGTGTAAACCACAGGCAACATACCATAACAAGGCTATATGGAAACCTACACACCCATGTATAGGTACGCCACTACACAAATAACACGAATAGAGTCAAAACAGAACACAAATTCTTGCACTTTCAAGTGCCATCTTGAAAATTGACCCACGCACCACATTCACAGCAGGAGCAAATCACCACCATTAAACTTCAAAATATAGAATGCCAAACTGGTGCTAGGACAAAAAGTAATCAACTGACATCAGGCAAGTAACATCCGAGCATTAGCAGACTGTGACCACATACTGAATGCAAAGCAGAAAGCCATCACTGAGTTAGACAAGTGCTGGCACCATTGATTCGCCAACACTTAACGGAGAGAAGCACTACTGAAGGACGCTGTGCCCAGGGCTGCCCGACTGTGCATGTGGACGGAGGAATCGCAGCTAGAAGCAAGGGAAGCAGTATACGGTATATCCTCTGCGGCGAACGTGTCGGAAGATAAAGAAGACGTAGCAGAAACAGGTCCGCTTGCAACTGTGCTGGCGGCAGTCAAGTGGCTGGTGGCAAGGCTAGCATCTCCAGCTGGGACATCGTCAAACAATGATGCTAACTCTTGGAGCTTGGTCTCACATTCACTGGCATTGGTGACATTCAGCTGGACGCGCAGAACAGCATTGGTCGCATTGGCTCGGATGTCCGGAGTCTGAGTCAACAACAGCAACTATGCTCTTTTCTGCCCGTTTTGGTTTGGCGTCTGTGTGGGGCCTGTGGCCGTCGAGCGCTCTACAGAAGGCGAGTTTTCATTGGAAAAGCCATCAGTGATGCCATCAGCAACAGCGGTTGCCGACCTAAGCTGCATACGCGACCTGGTTTCTTCCATATCATGCTGGTTTACACTATTGTTGTAGCAATTTACTACGCACAACGAAATACTGAGGCCTTGTCACGGCATGGCGGAGTTGCAGAAACGAAAACTTCGGCTGCAACACGAACTACACTGATAATACTAACGGAGTATCTAATCGAATGTCAAAGATTACTTCCTCCAGGAGATGTCTCGACGACAACGAAATTTAGTTTACAGAAAATGTAAAAAAATATCCAATGTAAAATTTTCGCTAATCACCTCGTACCGACCTGGCCTGACGCACACCACCACCACCACACAATTCCTGTGTGCATTGCAAAGAACTAGTGTATCATTGCTACCAGCAACACGCAACTGTGGCTGCTTTAGCAGAGATGATGTGTGTGAGAGTCTATGCTAATGCGCTTTCTTCTTTTTCTGTCGCCACCGTCGTGTGTGTTCAGGCTTTTCACAGACGAGGAGATCGAAGTTATTCGCAAGACAACCTTCCGTACCATCTTGTCAAGAAATATTAAAGCAAGCTGGTTCCGTGAGGATTTGTTACAGAAAGATGTCTTCCATTTCAACGCCGATGTGGACGACTCAGAGAGGCGCTGCCGCACGGAGTTTGAACAATATAACGACGCGACTTTAACGGCAGAGATTGATGCGTGTTCGCCAATGAAAACATTTGACTACTTCAGTGGCAGTGGTGGACCGTACATCACGACCATCATCGGCATAGCCGTGTACTTTATTCTGAATGTCGCTGTTCTCATCGTCTCGGTGAAGTATGTCAGCAAGTCCAGAAGTAGCGGCAAGCCGAAACGTAAACAAAGCGGACCCGCCAGCGATTTTTGGAGCAATGCTGGCGTGTTCACAGCACAGAATGGAGAACCGTTGACCGGTGAGCTTGTCAAGGTAAGACTGGGGCAACATATACATTAACAGACCTACAATGTATACCATGTTGTTGGGAAGGTGGTGGTGCGCTTCACCCCAGATACTAGTATGTTGATAATTCCTGAAGCTAGGCAAAAGATGTTGCGTATTAGTGTCTGCTCTGGCGTTAGCCAGGGTCCACAGTGCTTTGTTTCGTATCTGTGTGTGTATGCGTGCGTGTGTGTGGGGGGGGGGGAGTCATCACAAATTGTACTTTGATGCGAGCTGAAAACTGGATGAACCCCTGGATGTGATGAGTGAGGCCAGACTCACGCACTTCTTGTCCATAGACCATGCACGGTACAGTACCAGGGAAGCCGACGATGACGCATACACATGTACGTATGATTGTAGTTTCAGGTTTTTACAGTGCCATTTCTATGGTTGTAGCCAATGAGCGACGTTCCCGCGGTGGCCTTGATGAGCCGATAAAGGCCCGCACGCTGTCAGCCTAGCTCTACAGTGCAGGGGTCTGCGTCAGTTTTCCGTTGCCATCTCAGTTCATCTCAGGACCTTGCCGTCCTTGGCTTTGGAGGAGAGTAGAGTAAGTACATGGTTGAAACCAGGTCTACAATCATGTAGATTGGGCATGCCTGTAGACATGACCTCATGCTCAGTTCTGTTCATTGATGTAATAAACATACAAGTACTATGATGTAAGGTAGCAAAGGTGGCTACATGTAGTAAGCAATCCAGTATTCTACAAGCTAATGGCGATGTTGAGCGATGTTGACAACAGGTTTGTACACGTGTCAGTAAAGGAGTGACAAAACTAAACAGCTACAACCTGAAAACAATTCAAAGCATTCTTCTTCTTCAAGGCCAAGGGAAAAATGGCAAGAGTTCTGTCCACCACGTCCCCGACCTCCACCCCTAGGTGGTATCGCGCTTATATACAGTCTACGAGTACGAGCATCAAAGGACGACTTAACCTGAGGAGTAAATAATTGGAAAAAATGGCAAGAGATCCGTCCACCACGTCCCCGACCTCCACCCCTAGGTGGTGTCGCGCTTATATACAGTTCGCAAGTGAAACCTGACCATGAATCAAGGCCAAGGGCGCAGGCCAAGGCGCGTAGCGCCGAGGCCTGCGCCCGCGGCCGTACGCATGAGCTTTGGCAATTCTGCAACTACTTCTTCTAAAAAGCGATAGGACGACTTAACCTGAGGAGTAAATAATTGGAAAAAATGGCAAGAGATCCGTCCACCACGTCCCCGACCTCCACCCCTAGGTGGTGTCGCGCTTATATACAGTTCGCAAGTGAAACCTGACCATGAATCAAGGCCAAGGGCGCAGGCCAAGGCGCGTAGCGCCGAGGCCTGCGCCCGCGGCCGTACGCATGAGCTTTGGCAATTCTGCAACTACTTCTTCTAAAAAGCGATAGATCCAGCCACCACGTCCCCGACCTCCACCCCTAGGTGGTATCGCGCTTATATACAGTTTCAAAGAATGCCAGTGAAAACATGACCATAACTCCGATGAGCGTACGGCCAGGCAGGCCCAAGGCCCGGGCGCTGGCCAAGGCGCGTAGCACAGGAGATCTACGCACGAGGCCTTCATGTACTGGCGAAAATTGATAAGATCATCGCGTGTCAGCAAAGGAGTGATAGTGTAGCCACCACGTCCCCGACCAACCTACTTGTTCTTGAGCATTGAGCAAAGAAAAAAGGCAACAGGTCTAGCCACCACGTCCCCAACCTCCACCCGGCTATGTGGTATCGCGCTTATACTAGTTATAGTTATACCGTCTACGCGGCTCAAAGGATGTAAGTGGAAACCTGAAACACGATCATAGAGTTCTGGCAGGACTTTCCGCCTTCATCAAGGCCTCGTGCGCACGGCCGCGGGCGCAGGCCTCGGCGCTACGCGCCTTGGCCTGCGCCCTTGGCCGTATGCACTCGGCCTTGATTCAGCCATAAAGTCCTGCCAGAACTCTATGATTGTAGTATAAAATCTAGATCAGAATTCATCAATTGGTGGGACAACCTACACACAGTATACATATTTTGGGTTTCTACTTTCTATTAGCACGCAGCACACAGAAGTTATTCCTCGCTAACTTGTCTATACCGTATTTTTCGGAGTATAGTGCGCTCCTTTGTATAACGCGCACCCCCAATCTTCATTGGGCGAGGGCACTTCAATCTTCATTGAAGCACATGCGTTTCATATTCGGAGCATAGTGCGCACCTGCGATTTAGGGCCTAAAATAGCACATCTAAAGTGCGCACTATACTCCGGAAAATACGGTAATTATTTAGTGTGGATAGTGAATACTCAGTGAATACCCAGTCTCATTGAATACCCAGTCTCAGTGAATCAGGGGCGTAGCAGCCGCTCCGGCCGGTCCGGCTTTGGCCGGACCACTTTTTCGCCCGACCACGACCACCATAGTAAAACAATGCCAAAAGTGCCCAGAATGCAGGATTTTGCACCCTTATTTCAAAAACCTTCCGCAGAGGAGATCCCCCCGGCCCCCCCCCCCCCCCCCCTGGCCGGACCACCGCCAACGGCGGTGCTACGCGCCTGTGAATACCCAGTCTCAGTGAATACCCAGTCTCCATGCTTTGCATGAAGCCATCGGCTGCATGGCATTAAGGCAGGATTTAAGGGAATCATGCCTTTGGGTTCTCCTAGGCCCAGGTCAAACATTTCAAATGCTCCACAAGGTCCACTGTGGCCTGTTGTATGAAGTACATATTAGTGAACATGGGACTGTCTCGGGCTTGCCTTAGTATCAGACCAAGTGTTCTGTAACTTCTGTGTGAGATTATTTATTGTTTTTTTTCTTGTTTGTTTGTTTGTTGTTGTCGTTGTCGTCGTCGTCGTTATTGTTACTTCTGTTGTTTAGAGTGACACCGTTATGAGTGTATCTCTTGGCCCAATCATAGCATCTCGCCAGCTCAAGGTCTATAACACAACTCTTGGTGGTGTGGAGCGCACCATTGATCTGACTGGCGTTAGCACAGTCAACATCGAAGAATGCCATGATGTCACTGGCAACAATACCAGTGGTCTGCTGTGTATGCGCATGGCACATCGCTATGATCTTGCCATGCGCGTCGATACACACCTGCAGCATATGATTTCAAATATCGCGGTATTTTGCGAAAGTCTGAACATCCAGGTTTCGCGCAAAGTCGTTTTTTCTTCAAAGCAACTCCTGTGGTCGGTCGTTACCAAAAAAGACCGCCACAATGTTGTGCAGAGCTTTTTCCGTGCGCTGTTCAAACAAACGTCTGGCGCTGACGCATCCAAGGGTGCAACACAGTTCATCAAGAAGCAAAGAGCCAAGAAACGTGAGGTAGGTGGTGATTTCCTCCAGTGTGGGTGAAGCTAACACTAGTTAAAAGTGTAGCCAGTAATGATTATCACACTGAAACTGACTGAATGCCGTGTAGCAGTACATGCGTAACATAGGAACATTCTGCCTTCTTCTATTGTTTGCCTCAAACCTGCTAACCTGCTAACCTGCTAACCTGCAAACCTGCTAACCTGCTTGCTGTGCCATCTCAGTGGTACTTTAATGAAGTGATGTAAGACCCCCCCCCTCCTCACCATTCCATGTCCGTAGACTTCCGCATGCGTTGTGGATGACGTCATGATGATGTCATGATGACGTCATGGTAATTTGTCTTTCCGTTTTCTATTGCTGTTCCAGGCTCTGTCTACGGAGTTGACACGACCAGAGTTTGCTGAAGCTATGGGGATGAAGCCCACGTCGATCTTTGTCGAGCAAGTCTTTCGATTTGTGGACACGGATAAAAGTTACACAGTTTCCTTTCAGGAATTCTTCCAGTTCCTAGCCGTGTTCACACAGGGCTCTTCTGATACGAAAATGGAACTGATGTTTGCCATTTATGATATTGACGGCGACGGTGTCCTCTCGCATGATGATTTCTCGACTATGTTGGGCCACTTGGCGGAGCAGGCCGGTGAGACTATTGGCAAAGAGAAGCTCGACTCTATACTCAGCAACATGCTGAAGGTGAGTGTCCGGTGTTGTAACTGCAGCATGGATGTGTACGTGCTGGGGGAGAGTGGGGGCAGGGGAGGGCAGCTGCACTTGCTAATCCAATCATCGCTGCTAGTAATGTTATAGCACTGGCATTGGTCCTGCTGCTGTTGCTGCTTCTGGTATTTCCAGCACTGACATTGCCTTTATAACTCGTAGTTCGTTACTTTTGTTTCGCTGCTGTGTCCCGACATGTGATGCCAGTCAACTGAATCAGCTCTTCATTACTCACCACTGCAATAGCCTTTAGTCACCACACCAATTACCTCATGCATGGAGGCCTCATGTACTGTGTGTCCATGGAGTTTGTAAATGAATCATGTCATGTCTCTTCCTAGTTCCCAGACTGTGAGTTGTTAGGAAGAAGAAAAACCTAAACACGCAGCGATAGCCATCACTGAGCAGTATCTTGCTAAACCGCTAACACTGCCATGGGGACTGGTCATGGGACTACAATCATACGTTGGCCCTTGGGGTTTCTTTCTTGTACTCTGTCTCTCTCATTCTCTCTCTCTCTCTCTCTCTCTCTCTCTTTCTCTCTTTCTCTCTCTCTCTCACTCTCGCACTCTCTCTCTCTCTTACTCTCCTACTCTCTCTCTCTCTCTCTCTCTCTCTCTCTCTCTCTCTCTCTCTCTCTCTTACTCTCCTACTCTCTCTCTCTCTCTCTCTCTCTCTCTCTCTCTCTCTCTCTCTCTCATGAAGTCAAGTTCAATTCAAATGAACTTGACTTCATCTCGTTTTGCAAGGCGGGAGAGAAGCCAGTTCGCGTTCAGCCCAGACGGAAGTTGGTTACGACTGATCTCCTGTCAGCGGCCTCAGACTGGAAACTTCTTGTCGACTCAGTTAGTGCAAAGATTTCTTTCCCTAGCTGTGTTGCACTTACCACCCTAAGACCAGATATAGTTCTGTACTCTACGAGTCGTAGGATTGTATTCTGGATGGAGTTGACAGTTTGTGCTGAGGACAGATTCAGTGTCAGTAACTCGCGGAAGGACAGGCGGTATGCGGATCTGGCCGATCAATGCCGAGCAAACGGGTGGCAGGTCGTTTCTTTTTCGGTTGAGGTAGGTGTGCGTGGTTTCATCCCGGACTCTCTTCGGAGGGCTCTGAAAGCGCTTGGGTTTTCTAATCGAAGAATAAAATTTATTTGTAATTTGTGCAGTAAGACGTCTCTGCGAAGCAGCTACATCATCTGGTTGCGACGTCAACAAAAACACTGGTCGGAAGATCCACTTTTCTGAGGTACTGTATGTGGGGCTCCGTTTATTGAGGTGCGTTGAAATTTATTCTCTTTATCTTATTATTTCTTTTCTATAATTTCCCCATATGAGTTCCTATCAGTTGCTGTGAACACCTTGAGTGGAGAGCGCTTGCTCGAGCGTTGAACCGGGTTCTTAATCCACCATACCCAGTTCGCAAGGCTGGGCGGGGTTGTAAGCAGGCTTTCATTTCATCTTTTCTTATTATTTCTTATTATTTCTGCTTTTCATCTCATTACAAAAATTCTGCGCTTTTTCTCCATCTGCGCATAAAATCTAGACTGACAACCTGCTTGTTAAATCATGCACCTGCTTTCAGGCGTAAAAACCCTGTTGTAGAGGTCTCAGTCCTCATTTGTTAGACTTACCTGTCTTTATAAATGTAACTTACTCTCTTTCTCTCTCTCTCTCTCTCTCTCTCTCTCTCTCTCTCTCTCTCTCTCCTCAGACATCCAAGAGCACCGACAGTATGGGTATGACCCTGGAGGAGTTCAAGACCATATTTGGTGAATACAAGGAGGTGATGGGTGACACTACAGTACAGCTGAAGCATGCGAAGAGTGCGGTGAAGAACCTGCGAAACCAAGGAGTCAACAACAGCAAGTCTGTACAGATTAGCAAGAACTCCGGTAAGTGGCAATCTCACATGAAGCCACTCCACGTCAGTTGAGCTTGAGTAGGCTGAGGAGGATTGCTCCAGCTGGCAGTCGTGAGTCAGTCGTGTTGAGTTTGCCAGGAAGTGTGTGTTCAATGTAGGAACAACCAATTTTATCTTAGAATAGATGAGTTCAAGTATCACAATAAATACGGTAGCAGTCAGCCTCACCATTTTCAATGGAATCATGCTAGCAATGAGATGTTTGAAGTGTACCTCCCTTGCTCTAGGTGTAGGTTTCTACATAGTTTCTACGGGAGATCCATGTGAAAGGTTGTGGGAATATTCCAAGCTCTTCTGAACATATCTACCCCTACCATTGTATGAGATTGTGGAGTTTAGAGGATCTTTTGTTTTCTGAGGAGACCAATAAGCCACCTGTCCAGAAAAACGAAACTCCTCGCAAAATCCAAGAGTTGAGTATGTAGTCTTGTGTGTGTGCGTGCGTACACGTGCATGTGTGTATACACGTGTGTGTGTGTGTGTGTGTGTGTGTGTGCGTGTGTGTGTGTGTGTGTGTGTGTGTGTGTGTGTCCTTGACCATGCAAATTCAGCCCAGTTTGGTCTAGGTGGCAGTCATCAGAGCACAATCCGAGGGAAGTCAAGCACAACGTCCTTTAGAAACCATTACACACCGGCAGAAAAGAGCGATGGCCTTCAGGTGAAGGAGACATCAATGCCTGGTGAACAGCTGGACAACTTGTCACCATTTCAACATCAAGTTCTCTACGTGCAGCGACTGTGGGAGAACTATCGCTTCCACATCTTCTGGTTGACTCTCTATTTGCTTGTAGTGCTGTGCATCTTTGCTGAGCGTGCCTACTGTAAGTCCCTGCCTCCCCGCCTCCGTGTTGTGTCTGTTGTGAACTCTTGGCTGTGTGTGTGTGTGTGTGTGTGTGTGTGTGTGTGTGTGTGTGTGTGTGTGTCTGTGTCTGTGTCTGTGTCTGTGTGTGTGTGTGTGTGTGTGTTTCTGCTGGACCTTGTACAGTGGATATCGGTTATAAAGTCATCGGATATAGTGATAAACCGGTTATACTGATACAAGATGAAAATATCAAAAGCAAAACCAGAAAAAGCCAGTCAAATTATCATTATAACCAATATATCGGATATAGCGATAAATCGGCTATAAGGATACAGAATCACAATTCAAAACACCTCTTTGTACAGAAAAAATATCGGCTATAATGATAGCAACACACGAGTGAAAGATATTGGTGTGCCAATTTGGAGCCATACGAGTGTTTTTCTAGTGGCGCCACAACTCGTCAATTCTGGTCTGCTGCTTCCTGGATGATGCCTTGGCGGACAGGAAGTTCTCCACTCTGGAGAAGCTGGCGTGCATGCTGGAGTCAGCATTGCTAGCGTACAGCGCCAGACGAACGGTGCTTACAGCCTGCAATAACTCGGCAGCAGACGGAGGTGAAGGCAATTCCTCGGCCACTTCATCTTCGTCATCTCTGTCAGAGTCTGCAGTTTCATCCTGCAGTGCCTGGACAATTTCGCAGACATCGTCACTTGGAGCAACCCGGCATGGCTCAGTCGAATCCAGTCTCTCCAGCTCTGTGATGTCGGTCTGAAGAGTGTCGTCTTCGTCAACAGGCACATCATCAGCCACAGTGGGACCCATCACAAACCCAGCCTTCCTCCAGCAATTCTGGATGGTCGCCTCCGAGACAGAGTCCCATGAAGACTTTGCGTACTGCAGGCAGTGAAGAATGTTCACGTTCTTCTTGAGCACTGCAGTGTCCAGCTTCGCCATCGTAGGGTCATCTACAAACTGAACCACCTTGCGCAACATGAGACGGCGGTACGTGCACTTGAATGATTGGATGATTCCGGCATCACAGGGTTGAATCACGGACGTCGTGTTGGGTGGCAGGAATACAACGCGGACATAGTCCAGACAATCAGCCACGCCATCAAACTTGTGCCCAGGGCAGTTGTCCACCAGCAGAACAATCTTTTTACCCTTCCTGCGGAATGTTCTGTTGGTGTCCAGCAGCCACTCCGAAAATATCTGCTCGTTCATCCAGGCCTTCGGATTGGAGCACCACTGTCCTCCAATGACAGCAGCTGGAGTGCTTTTTACCGCAGCAACAGCACGGGGAAGCTTCGAATTGCCAATCGCCAGAAGAGGCAGTCTTTCTCCAGACATGGAGACAGTGGTGGCAAAGGTGATTCGGTCTTTCTGCGTCTTGCTGCCTGATAGCCGTTCATTGACGCAAGCCAACGTTCTCTGCGGCAGAGCTCTCCAGAAAAGACCAGTCTCATCCATATTCCAAACGCGCGTCGGATCACCATCGACGCTGGCAAACACCTCTGGCCAGGTGTCCTCCATGAAAGCTGCAGCGGCAGCGACGTCAGCATCAGCAGCTTCGCCATGAGTCTTACGTGACTTTATTTTCCTCTTGGCGAGGAAGCGCTGCACAAATGATCTCCACGCTATGTCCGTCAATGGCAGATCTTTCCGTTCAACCAGATCCTTCGCTACAAGTTCATCAGCTATCTGATGGCCCTTCACAATCAGCATGTCATACGTTATCGTTGTGAGTTTCTTTGAAAGGCACGCTTCGTGAAAACTCTCCAGGCCTTTCTCTAACAGGACGCAGTTGCTAGACCGATTTTTACGGACTCCTTTCAAACTGGACGATGCCACGTCCATGATCGACGACTTGTTCTTCAGGATGGTAGAGACGGACGACTGCCCGATTCCAAAGTGCCGTCCAATATCGCCTTGCGTCGCTCGAGGATTTTTCTCCGCATAGTTGAGAATTTCAACCTTCTTCTCAACGGTCAAACAAACTCTATTTCGCTTCGCACTAGCCTCCATCATGCAAATCACGAAATTCAGGAACAAGAAATACGACTGAAACTCTCCTTGACAAGCAGGACAGCAACCTTCAAACGGGGAAAGTCAACAAGGAAAAGGCTGGCCATGCCCCGCACTACACATGTTACGCTTGCTGCATGCAGAGTCTGCTGCACTCAGCCTACAGCAAGGGTAGCTCGCGTAGTCCACTACTGCTCGCGTAGTCTCCTTACAAGACATCTATCGTGTACTATCTACTTGTACACTGTACACTACTCGCACCAGTACGCTACACTAGCGCGATCGAGTACCCACACGTGTATACTGTGCATGTACGACGCGCACTGTTGAAAATCGCCTGTAGTGATATACCGGTTATAGTGATAACATGTGAAAAATCAGAAGGGCACGTTATAACCGATATCTACTGTACTGAGATCTACACAAGCACACTTGTAGGTATCTTAACCGGACCAAGATTCTTCATTTACCAGCATGTGCCCTATGAACGGTGGATTCCCTTACCTTCACTATGCCTCTAGTCATCTCATCTCTGCTCTGTAGGCACTGTTCATGCGACTTGCACTATGACGATTCGTGTGTGCATATCATGTTGTGTGTGCCTGCGTGTGTGTGTTCGTGTGTTTGTGCGTGCAGACTATTCGGTAGAGCGCGAGCATGTTGGTCTACGGCGCATTGCCGGCTACGGTGTGACAGTGACGCGGGGTGCAGCGTCTGCCATGATGTTCACCTACTCATCCATTCTGGTCACCATGTGTCGCAATCTCCTCACTAAACTGCGTGAAACTCCTCTCAACCGATACATACCGTTCGATGCAGCTCACTCTGCACACAAGGTAGAGTCAGTGTTATTTTTATTCTTATTTTTACTAGGGAATTCCCAACAGGCGTCATCGCCTTTTTACAGGGAACCCTAAGAAAGTCTTGATGGATGATCGGAATTCAACAGTGTTGACCCAACATCACACACAGACATCCCACCATCACACACAGTAATCCCGACATCATTAGCAAAGGCATGTGTAGCAAGTATGCTGAGTGATGAAGTAGTGTGTATTATATTGACAACACACTCCCTAAGGCAAGAGTTGTAATGCTATTCAGTTCTGCCCTCATACAAGCACGCTGTGCACAGCTAACATAGCATTGAAGCTGGTGCCATGAAAAACATCATTCATGTCTCTCTGTCTGTCCATCTGTCTATTGCTCTGTCTATTGCTCTGTCCGGCGGCTGTGCATCTTTCTATGTATTGTGCAGGTGATAGCTTGTGTGTTTCTATGTATTGTGCAGGTGATAGCTTGTGTGGCATTGTTCTTCACTGTGATGCACATACTGGGCCATTGCATTAACTTCTACCACATCAGCACGCAGACTGCCAACGACTTGACCTGTTTGTTCAGAGAGTACTACCACTTTTCTCATGAATTGCCAAAGTTCCAGTTCTGGATGTTCAGTACTCTCACAGGTAAGTTGCTACTGATGTTGCACTACTGCTGCTGCGCTACTGCTATTGCTGCTGGCGGTGGTGCTGCTGCTGCTGCTACTGTTGGCAGTGCTATTACTTTTTATGCACCTTGTCCTCACCCACTTACTGAGGTGTGGTGAGCCCATAAGTGGGAGCATTTTCAAGTCCAGTCAGAGTTTTGGGGATTTCAGGGGGTGTCGGCCGTTGGGTGGTTCAATAGCTAATTGAGTCATCTGTCCAAGATTCCTTTTGAGTCTCTCTCCCCTCTCCCGGGGAGACCCACGTGACCAGTTTTGGCAGCGAGCAACAAGTACAAGTACAAGCTGGTGGTGGTGCTGCTGGTGGCAGTGCTATTGCTGTTGCTCCAGTGCTGGCGGTGATGCTGCTGCAGACACTCTACCCCCATTTGCATTGCGGACGTTGGCTCTGTCGGCGATATCATAATATATCCATGGTTTGTGCTACGGGATGTGTGCTGCCCAGATTTTTGACGCCAGGAGTATATACCCCAGACTAGAGCATGTATCTCCTGTGGGTTGAGTTCCATCACAATTTCTGATCTACGCAATCCATCCGCCTTGGGGGTTAATCATGATCTGTGTGTATGTGTTGTGTGTGTGTGTGTGTGTGTGTGTGTGTGTGTGTGTGTGTGTGTGTGTGTGTGTGTGTGTGTGTGTGTGTGTGTGTGTGTGTGTGTGTGCATACGTCTGTGCACGTGAATCTCCTAGGCATCACCGGGTTGCTGCTCACGTTTGTAGTGGTGACAATCTACATCTTTGCACTGCCTCAGGCACGCCGCTACCTATTCAATACGTTCTGGATAGTGCACCGCCTGTATATCGTTCTGTTCATACTGTTGATCCTGCATGGTTCTGGACGTCTTGTGCAGCCTCCACTGTTCCAGTGGTTTTTCATTGTGCCCGCTGCCCTGTTCGTTGTGGACAAACTCATTAGCCTGAAGCACAAGAAGGTCAGTCTCAGTGCTTGTTCACGAAGGTTGAATGTTCTACACTGTACCCTACTCTGTTGCACTGCACTATACCAATGCCGCACTGCACTATACCGTACTGTACTGCACTGCCCACCCGTATGCGTACAATGCACTGCACTGCCCACCCGTACAATGCACTGTACTACCCACCCGTACAATACACTGCCCCCCCCCATACCCATACAATACACTGCACTGCCCAGGGCGCAGTAGGTACACACCAGGGAGTTGTACATGTAGTGTACAGGGGAACGATGCAGGCCACCATTAGTACCGTCAAGAGTACATAAACCAGAGTGTGCAACTCGGGATGGTTCCTGTGGGAGCGTAACTCGTGCAGTACAGTACGTCATTTCTGACGGCATGGTAAGCCACAGGTACGGTGAAAAGTTGTGTAACCAGTCACGGTGGTGCAGCTCACTGAGTTTGTCCTGATTTCGGTTTTTTGATACGGATAGCCTGGTGAATTTACTTGCCAGTGGATGTACGCAGGGCATGCAGTCACACAAAAACACCGAAATCCTAAAACAGGACATCTAAAATCATGCAAACTAGGCTGATTTCCGAGCTGTGAAACACGAAAATTTGAGCTGTACGCAAGTCGTGGCTTGGCTGACCTCATCAGGGTGACATAATGCACGAACTGCACTGTTTCAGATCTGATATGCACAGTTGCACACTCTGGTTTATGTACTCTTGGTACCGTTGATCCGCCCCCCCCCCCCCCCACGCTGTGTCGCTTCCCAGCTGAGTTTTCAGCAGGGGGGGGGGGGGGGGGATTAGATCGAGGCTGTCAAGCGCAGCTCTATGTACAGCTGCACAAAAGATCAGACTTTCTGTGCTGGATTGTGCACATTTTCATCCACAGGCATACCTGCACTAACATGCATCGTGTACAGCAGTGCATGCGTCGGTTCAACACCGTATTTTGACATCTATGCTGAAGTTGCTTCACGGGTTGAAAATTTGACAGGAGGGAGGGGGGGGGGACTTAGAGGGGTATCATCATGACATGGATGGTGTCAGGGGTAATTTGTGGAATTGCTTGCACTGCTTTTGCTTGCCTTCTACCTTACGTTGTAGGGTTTTAGGTTGAGCTGTACCTTAACTGGTAGAGTCTTTACTTTAGTTCTACTGCCTTGTACTGGTCTCCCTTACCTTGTGAGGCCTTTGCTTAAGCTGTACCTTGCCTGATGCCTGATGGCTGATGGCTGTACCCGCTAGCTGAGTTGTGTCTGTTGTGAGATCGACTGCAACTGCTGTGATGCGAAGTAGGCATGACAGGGCCTCTCGTACTGATCGGTTAGACTGGAAAGTGGGAAACGTGCAAACGTATTGTATGGTTATGTGTCCGTGTGTACCTGTGTGTACGTGTGTGTCTACAGCATGATATCCCGGTGTTCAAGGCCGAAAAGCTGCCGAGTGGTGTTACGCATCTGCAATTCAAGAAACCCAAAAACTTCAACTATCTTTCCGGCCAGTGGTGTCGTATTTCATCGCGAGCCCTCAACTCTGGCGAATATCATCCTTTCACACTGACATCTGCGCCACATGAGGAGACCTTGGATCTCTACATCCGTGCTGTTGGGCCCTGGACGGAAAATATTCGTCAGATTTATGATCCGGAGAACCCTAAGAATCAGAACACCGAGAACAAGGGTTTGACCTTTCCTAGGATCTATCTTGACGGTCCATTTGGTGAGGGCCATCAAGATTGGTACAAGTATGATATCGCAGTGTTGGTTGGTGGTGGTATTGGTGTCACTCCGTTTGCTTCTATCCTCAAAGACTTGGTCTGCAAGAAACAATCCAAGGTGCAAATCCCATGCAAAAAGGTACAGTACTTCATCTGCTGCTTTCGTGAACACACACACACACACACGCACATGCACACACACACACACACACACATGCACACACACACACACACACGCACGCACGCACACGTGTAGATTCTGCCGGAATGATGATGGCCACTTGAAAATATTCTTGCACATTCCTATGCACATAGAGAGAGCAAAAAAGGTATGAATGATGGGCCATAGCAAGTTTGGGATTTGGCTATATAAGGGCATGGGTGGTATCTGGTAAACACCCATGTATGGAGAGGTGCATATACAGTTGCGTTCGGTGAAATCCGACCCAGCGTGCATATTTGGCGCCCTCAGCTTGCACGCCCTTGACGCGCTGGAAGTGGCAAGAATGCGGCTGGCGGACAGGGGGACACAGGAGCACTGGCCGCGGCTACTAACTGCATGTTTAAGGTTTCCTGTGGTTCTTGATGGACAGCGGTCAAGTCCGTACCGTCCCGTACCCTCTCTAGATGCAAAGCATATTCCAGGGCCTCATCCACATTAAACGTTGGGTTCTCCAATACCCGTGGTCTCAATTTGGAGGGAGAAAGTCCATCAATAAACTGGTCCCTCAACAACTCCCCTTGATTGTCTGGAGTCATAGTTGGGTACGCTCGCACCACTAACCGTCTTAAGTCATCACAATAACGGGCTAGTGGTTCCCCAGTCTGGCGGCGTCTAGCTTTAAATTGAGCTTTAAGCTGACGTCCATTTCCTATGGGGGCAAATCGGCGACCCATCTCTTCAAGTAGCCGTGGCCAGTCCCTCCTAATATCTAATAATAATAGTCCCATGTCCGAAGGGAAGGCTGGTATATAATCGTTGAGCCGCCCCCCTTAGTCTGACTCCTAGAAACTGTGCCCGTACTGCCTCAGCCCACCCATTTAAGTTTGCACATTCCTCAAAATACAAGTTATATTCCTTCCAATCTCCCTCACCGTCAAAAGCCTCTGGCATGATGAGCGGCCGATTGGATTGGGCATCCCCTCCATACCCGCCGAAGTAGGCGGCAGGGCGCCCTGGGAGCATCGGAATCGGAGCAGGTTGAGCCGCGACATCTGGGAGAGGACCTGGAGGAGCGAGAGCAGCAGGGGCAGGTGCAAGAGCCACAGCAGGAAGCGCAGGAGGAGCAGCAGAAAGAGGAGAGCAGCAGCAGGAGGAACAGCAGCAGGAGGAGCAGGAGCAGCCACAGCAGGAGCCGGAGCTCTTCCGGCGACTGGACCACCGGCAACAGCAAGTTGCGGGGCAGCCGCCGCGGCAGCCAATCGAGCACGGGTTCCTCTCTGTGCCATTCTAGAAAGCAAAAGGGAACAGGGAAAAATAGAAAAAGAAGAAAAACCGGACGGAGAGCCAACACCAAGGAACAGAAAATACTACCACTCGATGGAAACGAAACTGGCAACTGAGGACGATCGCCAGCTCGCCGTTTTACCTAACCCGATACATTACCGTACGAACATACATCACAACAATCCCCTATCCTATACCAGGTACGATGCAATCGATTGCACCCGGCGGCACCCTCGGGATCGTTGCACCACATGCGGCGGTGCATACTCCCATAACGGGAATGCCGCAACCATTCCACGTGTCGTACTTTCCGTCCTACTAGCTCATCATTCCAACCAAAATAATCAAGAAGCCAAAAAACAAAAACAAGTCACCAATGGTCAAAACAAACAACCAGCCACGCGGGCATGTGAACTCACCGACCTGGCTGAGGTCCGAGACGGTCATTCCTGGTCTTCGAACCTCAGCCAGTTTCCCTTGGTCCGACGGAAGTACTCCTCCAATGTCATATCTGTCGTCGACCAGTCTTGTAGTTCTTCTAAACCCGAATCGACGGCCGAGGTGTCGACGGACCGAGGGGTGACCACCATTTGTTCGTCGGTTTGCTGTTGTTGCCTCTGCTGCTTCCTTTTCTGGCGGAGTTTGAGTACCCGCTCCCAGTTACGTCGCTGGCGGGACGGCGAGGCATGTTTCCGGAGCTTGGTTCGGGCGGCGGTGTCCCGAACCGCCCGAGACCGTGGCGACTTGTTCGCGTTTCGTCGTTTCTTGAAGTGTTGGAACTTCTTGAGGGCCCGTCGGCTATCACCGTCGCGATGCGGGGCGGCGGCGTTCCATGCCGCCCGTTGTTGTGCGGGGTGACCTGACGTAAGTTGCACCGTCAGGGTGTGACGGGACTAGTATCGGATCCTGTTCACTGCGCCAAGTGTCGTAGTCCGGCGGCCCGGAGTTAGGCCCCGGAGCCGCGGAACCAACATGACTAACCTAAGACTATCACATTACAAGGCCGTGCAGTGATGGGACTGGTGGCCGTAACTATAATTACATTACTAGACGTTCCGGCACCACATATACTCGCGATTCAGACATATTTAGACATGTTCGGGTCACACCACACCTGGTCACACACTCACACGCCATACCCTCACATATACAGCACCCGCATTCACACACACACACACACACACACACACACACACACACACACACGCGCGCCTATACCTTCACATCGAGACTCACATCTTACGGTCAGACATAATGATCAAACGATAGTAACCAAAGAGAAAAATAGAAGTCGTGACTTGTCGTAGAGACGAAAGTTGCGAGAGAGAGAAAAGGAAGGCGATAGCAATATCTAGTTGCGGCCATGGAAGTACATGGCCACGAGATTGATGGCCTCGCATGCGATAGCGTACCAAACCATAGTAAATATGTGTACAAACTATAGCATAAAGAGTGAGAGCCAGCTGGGGGAAATAACAGGGTATACCAAATACAGGCCGATTCACAATACAACTTCTTGCGACGCGACATGCGACTTGCGACACATGCGACGAGCTGCGACAGCGACACACAGTTCACAATATTCTTCATGTTTGTGACATCCTCGTATCATGCATAAGTACAAGTAGTACTATACATGTGCACTGCACGTGCCACCCACCCAGCCAGGGTCCAAACTAGTACTCCATTTGTGTATGTCTCGTGTCGCATGTCGCAAAAGTTGAACTTTCTTCAACTTCTGTGACAGGTGCCTTGCGACAGCGACAGCTCGCGACAGGCAGCTTCTTGTTGTCGCGTCGCAGAAAGGTGTATTGTGAATCGCGCTTAAGGAAGGCCCCAAGCCTTGTGTGAAGACATAAAATAGAGGCGATTATGAATCCGTTTACGGGAGATAGATAAATAATTAGACACCTAAATAAGGCAGACTTGTCACGTAGAGGCCTAAAAGGCAACGTGTCAATAGCATGGATGCGACATTAGTACGGTATGTTGGGCTTGACGCTTTGTAGCACGTCATCCTTTCAGCTCACCGCTTGCTGCCTATCCCAGACTCACTGGTCTTACCTATTACTTGTAGATATCTTGTCTCACGAGTCACCACTCACCACTCATATATCTACCCCCCCCCCTGCCTCCTCTATGTTCTACAGGTGTATTTCTTCTGGGTAACAAAGACCCAGAAGCAGTTTGAGTGGCTCACCGAGATCATCAAGCAAGTCGAGCAACAAGACGACCAGAAGTTCACTGGTATCCACATCTTCATCACTCAGTTCTATCAGAAGTTTGATATCAGAACAATCATGCTGGTGAGTAAGAGTGCTAGTGTGCTGCTGCTGCTGCTGCTGTTGCTGCTGTTGCTGCTGCTGCTGTTCTGCCTGCTGCATTTCGCTGAGTTATCTTCTTGCGTATTAGACCTTCCATTGTTCACACTTTCACTTTGCTTTGGGTTGTGTTGTCGTATGGATGTTGATGAATGCCGTTCTGTTTTCTGTTAACGTGTTCCTAATGCTGCTCTTGTTCTGACTCTATCTCTTGCAGTACATCTGCGAACGTCACTTTCAGAAGATTTCAAAGCAGTCACTATTCACCGGGCTGAAGTCTACCGTGCACTTCGGTAGGCCGCAGTTTGATAAGATGTTCGACAGTCTGCAGGACATTCATGACGACGTTGCCCAGATTGGGACGTTCTCCTGTGGCCCTCCGCCCATGACGCGCTCCGTGGAGGCGGCCTGTGTGGCCGCTAATCAGAACGAGGGGCCTGTCTTTTTCCACCACTATGAGAATTTCTGAGAGCAGAGATGAAATATCATGTTCAAAACATGTACATAACGTGCATGTACAAACAAGAAGAGAGTGTACATCACTGTACATAGATGCTGTGCAGTGCATCCTGTGCAGTGCATCCTGTGTAATTAATTGCCCCTTTGTAGCGCCAGCTGGTAACTGCATTATGCAAGAGTCTTTCACTCATTGAAGAAATAAAATTACCCAGATCTGTCGTCTAGAGTTTCATCACCTGTTTTTGTGCAAGCCAACGCACACTCCGGCAGTATTTAGAGCAATATTAAATTTTCTGTAGTCTCCACATGCCAGCGGTAGCCTTTCTCTCACTTGTCTGTGACTTGATTTTCATTTGGTACACTTTTTCTGTGCCAACCTTTCTTTTTATTAGAATTATTGCCGAAACAAAGAATCATAACGCTCTATTTTTGTTTTTACATCTACCAGTTATGAGGAACGCGTTAAATAGATGATGCTGTTCATAGGATCGGATCCATGCAGCGTTGGAACCTTTTTGTAACATCCGCTGAGCGCTAGTGTATTGCTCTGTTCCCGTGGTGACCATTGCCTAGAATAATATGGCCACCTTTCCTTCTCCTCTGCCCGCCCTCCCTATGTGTTGACTTGTATAGTAGCCTAGAGTCGTTTAGCTGCTGCTAGCATGCTTATTTATTTATTTATTTATTACAGCATCTCATAGCACAGTGAGAACACCGGCCAATGCAAAGAGAGAGGGTGTTAGCCAACCACGGCAAGGAAGAAGGGGAGGAGAAGAAAAAGGAACCGGCATGGATAAGCAGTGATTGCAACAAAATGAGAAACACAAAATCAAAGTCAAGGCGCGACAAGGTTTTTAAAAAGGCGGAGGGAAGAAAGGTCCTTAGCTTCTTGGGGAAGTGCCAGCCACGCAGAGTACGCAGTGAAAAAGGGAGAGTGACGTAGAAAGGAGGACTTAGGTTTCGGAAGGGAAAGGGAGTTTCTCGTGCTACGGGAAGAGAACCAGTTGAAACAGTGGAGGTGAGGTGGACACAGATTGAATTTGAGAGAATGGATAAGGGTGACAAGATGTGAATTACGTCTCTTAGACAAAGGGGTAGTGTCAGCAAGGGCATAAAGGGTGGAAGATGGGAGCATGCGGGGTTTTCGGAGGAGGATTTTGAGAACTTTTTTGTGGTGAATTTTGAGCTTGGCAGCACGGGTTGTGGACATTCCAGCCCAAGCAGTATCTGCATAATCAAAAATGGGGCGTAGGTAAGCTGAGTTAAAGAGTTTACAAGAGATTGGGAGATGGTAACAGTGAGAAGAGAGGACTCCTAAAGATGAACTTGATCGTTTACATATGTAATCGATGTGGGGTTCCCATGAAAGATTAGAGTCAATGAAAATGCCAAGATGCTTATGGCTGGAGACTATGTCTATAGGCTGGGGGAAAGTGGGATGGAGGAGGGGCGGAACATCGGGCTGAGAAGGAAAGAGCATGATTTTAGTTTTAGAGAGATTGGGCGATAACCGCCAAGACGACATCCAGGAAATTACTCTTTGAATCCCGTTAGCTAGGTTACTCATCAGGCCAGTAATGTTAGGAGATGCCCGTAGGAGCGTTGTGTCGTCTGCGAACAGTGATGTGCCCGGGGCAGCTGCGGGCAGATCATTGACGTATAAGATGAAAAAAAAGAAGGGGGCCGAGGATGGAACCCTGGGGAACTCCGGATAGTACTGTTGAGTGTTGTGTCGGCCGAGGACGTCCCATGTACCGTGACGTACTGCGTTCGCCCAGTTAGGTAAGATGTCAGCCATAGCAGGGGATTGCCGTCTACAGTAAATGATCCACGAAGCTTGGCTTCTGCTTTGGACATTGTGTTTCTAGAGCCTATAGGGAATTTCCCGTATTGGGTCTTAATTAAGTTGATAGGTCACATTCGCTTACCTCATCATGTAACTGTTATATTCACCATATAAATTTTATGATCGTCTCTTGTTTCTGCTACATGTACTCATTTTGGTTTGGTGCTGATGCATCGATGGAGGAAAGAGACACGTTTAAGTTCGAGTGCGAAAATTCTGAAAGATGTGAGCCCAATCAAGAAAAGTACTTGAGTGTGGGTGTCCTCGTGTGGATGTGTGTGAGTGGAGGCGGGGGTGAATGTACGGACACTTGCATGGTATGAGGATGATGGCTTTCGTGCACCTCCTTTGGCCCAAAAAAGTTTGGGGGCCCCTGTAAGACCGGCAATGGCAGTAAACTGCATATCGAACTGAGTAAAAGTACTTGAAGAGTAGGCTGTAGTAAGGCAGTAGTACCTGTACAAGTAGGCATCTTGCAAATATGCTTGTGCCGCTATTCCTGCATCAATGTCCGATGTCACTGAGTTGATAGCTGGTCCACGGATCGGCAAAGTAAATACAGTAGAGTCACGCGTCCAAGAACGTTGTTCCCAAGGGGTTAGCCTGGGGGTTCTTATTTTGTTCAGCCATCTGGCTGAACAAAATACGGAAAATACGGACATCTTCAGAAGTGCGGACAGGATCGATGAAGAGTGGAGGACAACGCGCAAGCTGGGTTCGCTGCTGGGCGACGAAGAGGATATTATGCGGCGGAAACAGCTGGCGACTGCAGCATTTCAGTCCCTATGGAGCCTCTGGAAGAGGCATCAGCACATCAGCGAGAAGTTGCGTCTGCGGCTGTACGACACCTTTATTATCCCAGTACTGACGTACAACTCGGGTACGTGGGGGGGGGGGGGTCAGTTTTTTTTTTTTTTTTTTTCTACAAAATCCACATATCTCCAGACACTGGGGTGAATGATGGAGTGTGGTGGTGGGGCCCATTGAGCTCCGCCGACCAGAGGTCTCGGCTTCATAGCTCCATGGACGCACCAAAGGGATATTTGGGTAGGGAGGATTAAATTGAAAAAGAAAACAGAAGAAAGAAAATGGAAAGATTGTATTGCTCAGTGAGCAAAAGAATAAGTTGAGTATTGATGTGAACGCTGTTAGACTTTTAAATTCAAGAGGAGACTATCCGTGAGGAGAGATTACATGTATGTCCAAGCATGGTAGGACACTGTACCCTCTTACTCGCGTATGCTATGAGTGCCCCAGTGCCAGTTCGTTCTGAGGAGATGGTGATAAGCTGCTGTCTTGAACTTTTGGATGTTCTTTGGGTGAAATGGGTGGGGAATGATAGAGGTAGGCAGCTGGTTCCAAATTGGGATGACGGAGTGGGGAAAGGCTCGGCTCACATTGTTCCGGGAATTGGCAGGAAGAACATTCTGTAACTGATGGGGATGCGCGGTGGACAGTCGTACAGCCTGGCGGGTGAGGCGTGTGGTCCTGGGTTGGTGTGTCGGTGGAGCCATTCTCGAGAGAAGAGCGGGAGAATTATCGCAAAGGGCTTTATACAGGAGGCAGAGGGCAGCGATGGTGCGGCGAATTATGAGGCTAGGAAGCCAGCATTGCGGATGTATTGCCTTGATGGCTCGCTCCTGCACCCAGTCCAGCCGATACAAGTGGGAAGGAGCTGCCCCCATCCAGACGATTGGGCAGTACTCCATAACCGGCCGGACAAAGGCTTTGTAGGCTCGAAGCCGGGCAGGAATAGTCAGCAAGTGAAATGCCTAGCGCAAGGCTCCAAGTCTCTGCGTTGCTCGGACTACAACAGTTCGGATATGCTGGCTGAATTTTAGCTGATGGTCAAACGTGACGCCGAGTACTTTGATGGAGGGCTACTCCTCGACAGGAGTTCCATTGAAGACAATGGGGGGTATTGGCCAGTCCCGACGATGGGAGTGTGACCGTTCTGTCTCGCCTGGATTCCTTCCATCGCCGTCAGTTAAAGGGGAAGTGCATCGATTTTTCAAGTAGGGCTCAGATGAAAGACAATTGGATATCGGTTCCGATGGTACATGTATATCTCTCGCTTGCGTACGGCAAGGGAAACTTGCCATATCGCCGATTTCCTGATCCCGTTTCCATGGCGACTACAGGTGATGACGCACATTCTGCTTAGCTCCGTGAGAGAGAAGGTCGACCACTGCAGAATTGTGTCATTTTCAGTTGTCTTCTTGTATTCACGAAGTGAAAGAAGTACTGTGTTCAATGCTGTTAGTGCCGTGAACTGTTTATTAGTAGTCCTCTCCGTTGTGTACTGGGACGTGACACCGACAGGGGAAAGCTGGAGTGCGGAGACGTTAGCTGGCAAGCGAAAATCGTGACGAACCAAGTGCTGAAATCTTGGTTGGGACAAATCAAACGTTCAGCATTTACCTCAACCAAGGACCATGCCGTTTGCTCTTTCCACTTCCTGAAGATGGATGCGCTGGCGCCCAGGTGTACTACGACCTACTGTTAGACGCCCTACTGTCGCGATCCCGGTAGGATGATGGTGAGTGTCCGGCACACATCTTGCTCTGCTGCTCCACCTGCGCATACCTGATACGGTGGTGCGCTTACAGGCGGGCTGGCTGCCTGCCTGGGCCCCAGATGCCTCCCTGATGGCGCGCCACGGGGTGCAGTCGGAGCACCTGTACACTTCGGTGATCCAAATGCGAATGCAGCCTTGCCGGTCGCCCGCGCCAGCCGGCCTGCCGCCTACTACATGACTAGGCCCAGACAGATTCTGCTCCGCTCGCCTCGATATTTTGCCGCAAAATGTTGCTGCGAAATCTTCGATAATTATTTTGCCGAGCCTGGCACAAGAAACTCGATATTTTGCTCCATTTTGCTTCGGAAAAACGTGTATTTTATCCACTTCCCGTACAATCCCGTACAACGTTTCATAAAAACCGCAGGGTCGGTTTCTCAACACGGGTTTCCACGCGCGTGTCCCTGAGTTCTTCCAGAATCATGTCGATTCACAGTGAATCCCAGTTATATTTCGGTGACATGATTTCGTCCTGGGCAGTGTATCCTGCTGAACGGGTAAAAAATAAGGAGATCCAAGTATCAGGCATAGATTTTACCCAACATCTCGATATGTTGCTCTGATTTTGCCGGCAATTTCCGCTCTTTCTTCGATATTTTGCCGAAAGAATTGCCGGCATGCCGGCAGGATCTGTCTGGGCCTACCGCCTACGCGACCAGCCTGAGACTGGCCCTGCCGCATTTTTTTAAACAGCTCACTGGGCTGCCAGATACGTGACTGACTTGAGGACAGTTGCATACTGCACGGCAGGCCAGGGCGCCCAGCTCAGGTCGCACGCCGTAGCGGCGTGAGCAGGGCGCGGTGTGGGTTGGTGATAACTACAGTTTCCTCCTTCCTCCTCCGGAAACTTCCATTTCCCCCAGGATTGCCTGGACATGTTTCAACAGGTCTTGCCGCTTACCATGCTTACCGGTCCTTGCTATACATGTACAGTAGTATAGTATAGTAGTAGTAGTAGTAGTAGTAGTAGTAGTAGTAGTAGTAGTAGTAGGAGTAATAATAATAATAATAATAATAATAATAATAATAATAATAATAATAATAAATAAACGAAAAATTACCAATACGCCATAATGAAGTCAATTCCTCGAACTGATGCCAATTGCAGGCTTTGCAAGGGCAGCTTAGAAACAATTGACCACATTGTCAGTGCCTGCCCAGTTCTGGCTCGGACCAGTTACATTGAACGACATAACCGGATAGTAAAGTATGTGCACTTCGAAATGTGTAAAGCACGAGATCTACCTACTGGTGCTTCACGATTCGACCACCAGCTCAAGGCATTGGTCAAGAGTAATCAGTATCGCCTCTATTGGGAGTATTCGGTCCCAACTGACCTGAAACTATCAGCAAACAGGCCCGATCTGCTCCTTGTTGATGACAAGGAGCGCATCGC